TGGCAGTCCAGCACCGGCGTGTACCCGTTGCTGATCTGCCCCGGGTGGTTCAGCACGATCACCTGTCATTACCGCATTGCAATATTGTAAGCTTCGATGTTACCTGTTCATTGTTAAACATAAAGACATCTCGATGACAATCTGTACCTGAGCTGTAAAATCGGAAGCGCCCTTGGGCGGAGAGTTCTTGGAGTCTCCGGCGACGTAGCCGCGACGCAATTCCTTCACGGACACGTTCTGAAAGTAAATTCATACAGTAAAAGTAATAAAAAGATTATCTTTAAAACGGTATAACGACAAGAACTGTACGATATAAATACCTTGACGTTGAAGCCCACGTTGTCTCCGGGCATGGCCTCGGGCAGCGCCTCGTGGTGCATCTCCACAGACTTCACCTCGGTGGTGATGGCGGCCGGAGCGAACACCACCACCATACCTGCACGGCAAGGATAGCGCCAACTTCATGGTATGTTTATAACCGGACAATTATCAAGTGCGGAGTGGTGCGGCGTCTCACCGGGCTTGAGTATGCCGGTCTCTACGCGGCCGACGGGCACGGTGCCGATGCCGCCGATCTTGTACACGTCCTGCAGCGGCAGCCGCAGCGGCTTCTCGGTCGGCCGCGAGGGGGGCTGGATGGCGTCCAGAGCCTGCATTTCCATCCTTTGTTAGTTGGTACATTAAAAAACCATTTCTAAATATTTAGCCGGATGCGGTGACGTACCTCAATGAGGCACTTGCCCTCGACTTTGCCGTCCTTGCGGTCGATGGTCCACCCCTTGAACCAGGGCATCTTGTCTGAGGGCTCCAGCATGTTGTCGCCGTGCCAGCCCGAGATCGGCACGAACGCCACGGTCGCCGGGTTATATCCTAATAGCAGTAAAAATATTTCGATAAATGCTTATAAATGAATCAAAAATAAAATGATTAGGTCGCTCACCAATCTTCTTGATGTAGGAGGAGACTTCCTTCTTGATCTCCTCGTAGCGCGCCTCGTGGTAGGGTGGCTCGGTGGAGTCCATCTTGTTGACCCCGACGATGAGCTGCTTGACGCCCAGCGTGAAGGCGAGCAGCGCGTGCTCGCGCGTCTGCCCGTTCTTGCTGATGCCCGCCTCGAACTCGCCCGTGCCCGCCGCCACGATCAGCACCGCGCAGTCCGCCTGCGCAACATATTGCATTTCTTCTCTAACTACCGTTATCGTTATACTCGCTCTTTTCTCCTACTACAAGGAAGCCATCATCATAAAACGCACGGAAAATTATGTTCCGTAAACAATTCATAAATTACTTTAGATGGAATTTTATAAGGTTTAAAAAATATACTTATGACGAAAATAAAATAAAACGGGTTTAATTTCTTGCGTTAAATAATTATTTGAAATAGTAAGAGCTTGCTTGCTCTCAATTTCATATATAAACTGCTTACTAGCTTAACGCAATGCATTAAAAATGTTTACTTAACTAGGGAAAACTACAAAAACAACTGGAATTAATACCATCATGTTGCCAAACTTAACATATTCATAAAAACTAAAACTTATGTAGTTATTGTTGTAACAGAAAAATAAGATTATCATAAACCCAAATGCTACTAGATATTTATTTGCGCAAATATTAAGTTAATAATGAATTTGTCATAGCAAATACTCCTGCAATTTATGTGTAAGAATGCTGCGTAGCTAAGCTTAGCGTGCCGTTATGTAACATAAGTAGTTTTAAATTAAAGTGATCTGGAATAAAACACTTTAGTTTGCAACCCTTAGCTATAAGTTGTAATAAAATATGATAGTTCAGTATTTTCCATAACGTTCAATACATTTCGGTTATGTCCAATATTTTACTAAGTTTGGTAATTTTGATGAAATCCTATATTCATGGCAAATTCGATGCAGTGTGTATTCAATGGAGTGGGTGTGGGCGTCGAGACATAGCTGACCTGCGATGTGCCGGTAATCATGTTCTTGATGAAGTCCCTATGTCCGGGAGCGTCGATGATGGTGACGTAGTACTTGGCCGTCTCGAACTTCCACAGAGCAATGTCGATGGTGATACCGCGCTCGCGCTCCGCTTTCAGCTTGTCCAATACCTTCGGAGATAAAAATTACTAGAAGATATAATCAAAGTAAACCCAGGATAATGTTCAATAGAACATATTCAAATGTAATCTTACTACCATAATATTATAAATGTGAAAGTTTAGATAGATGGACGTTTGTTAGACTTTGTGCCTAAACAGCTGAAGAGATCTCGATGAAATTTGCCATAGACGTAGGGGATAGTCTGCAAGAACACATAGAACTACTCGCTTTTGTATTTTATTTACACGCGGGCAGAGTCGCGGGCGATAGCAAGTCGCAAATAAAATTGATATTTTTGATACAACGCAAACTAGATTGCATATAAATAAGCTGTCTTATGTATCTTAGTTAATTTCCTATACCATCGTCAATATCATATCGAGTATAATATCGTAGGAATATTGCAGCGCCGGAGTAGCGAGCTTGCCTTGCGCTAACTTTTTTTATCGAATAACGTTAGGCGCTTTGACCTTATTGCAAAAACAAGGAAGTGCACTTATTCTGTTCAAATTGAATTTAAATCATACGGCAATCAAAACACGTACTGTAATTTATTATAAATACCTTTAAATAAACTTATTTTGGTGCCTTTTGTTGCCCATTCAAGTTGAAAATAGACCAACTGTCTTCCATTTGTATGAAAAGAATATTGAGGTTAAAGTTAATGAAAACAGTACTATTAATGTACACTACTAAGTATAGTCATTTTTTAAACAGTCAGTCACAGACGGTTTCATTTTGCCTCATCCTTTGTAGACAGTATTTAGCTGTTATTCAAATTGTACGTACCCAGGCATACTTGAAGGAGCCCTTGCCCATTTCCTGGGCCTCCTTTTCGAACTTCTCGATGGTTCGCTTGTCGATGCCGCCGCACTTGTAGATGAGGTGGCCGGTGGTGGTCGACTTGCCGGAGTCCACGTGCCCGATCACGACGATGTTGATATGAGTCTTCTCCTTACCCATTTTAGCAGATTGATAGTTCAGTCACAAGAGTAACAATACCTGTTAAAGATAAAAGGTATAATTGGGCTTTAGTGTCATAGAAAGAAACTAGAATGAACACGTGTGAAAGAAGACAATTATTTACGATAATTAGGCGCACTTTAAAGTAAGAACTATGATGAGGTTTTCAGCAATAATCTATACTCTCCTTGTTCCTGCAAAAGCTTTTATTTAAGTATTGTAAATTAATTAAAATTATAAACTTCCTATTTCTGCGACACGCGAATGTCTAATATTCAAGTGCGTCCTAAAACAAAAAAAAAAAGTTAAAGTATGATGAGTCACAAAACAAATATTGATTTAACAAAAATTGCATAAAATGATTGTACAGTTGTGTTTTTGATGGTTACTGTCCATCCATCATTGGATTTAAAAAGGATTTCCTAAGTCTAATAGAGTTATTATATCGCGTATAACTAAATGATTACCTAACAAGCTTTACCTGTAAGAATATGTCTTAGAAAAAATTATATAAGGCGTGGGCTTGCATCAAAATCGATAAGTTACGTTTGGGAGCCAGGCTGCGGGGCAAGGCCAATAATTTCCTGTGCCGTTTTTATAAAACTACTTTAAAATTTGTAATTTAATCATTTGAACTACAAAGTTAACTTAGTCTGAAGAATACATTGGGGTTCAGTTTATGATTTAAAGGTCTGGTTCAAACTCACAGATAGTTAAAACGAAGGTGATATATGAAAGATATTTAAAATACACTTTGAAGTAATACTTAATGGATGGAAAAAAACGATCCACACGCGATAAGCAACCCGTTACAATAGGTTTATAAAATGATTCCGCCGAAAGTATTATGGACAATTTAGTCACTCGATGGATTCAAAGGTCTCTTGTATTTAAAAACGTCAAATCGCGATTTATAAGCAAAGTTATAAAAGTTACTAACGTAAAATTGTTAGAAGAAAATCAATATATCGCTTGATGTAACTCACCGCAAATCGTAAGTTAAAAGCAATGCACTCGGAGTAGGTAATGCGAACGACTGCCTATCGCAGCAGAATTCTGGGACGAGTTGTCTCGGCCCCGGGCGTGCGCAGGACGTCCGGAACGTCGATACAGCCAGCTTCCACCCAAATATAGACAATTTGTCATAATAGCTACCACTCAGGCTCTATCATTGCACGGGGTTGAATGCATTTCGCATACAACATAATTTTAATACAAAGTTCACGCTAATCTAAATAATATTTTATTTACGAAGAGATATTTACTAGATGTCTAGGACTAATAATTGCACATTACCTACTGAGAGTGCATTCATTCTAAACTTAGCAGATGTCAACGATTAAATATATGCACAATAGCGAAGACGTTTCAGATTTAGACTTTTCGCACCGAGAAGCTTGCTATGTGCACTGTCTACGTACGCGGCTCGCACCGGCGACAACAAATGCCACCATCACAGGCATCTATAATGCATTCTTCCTTTAATTATCCACAAATAGATTCAACATTTGCATTGACATAAGAAAATATTGAAAGTTATCGTCACATTGTTTCACAACGATGACAATGTCCGTATATCGCGTGGAATTCGAATTTAGAAGCAGTACAGGAACTAGTTAATAAGATTAAAAGCTTATTATCTCTTAATTAACTTCTATATTTCATACAAAATAACATAAAATATTGTACCATATGTGTCACAAAATATCCGCAAATTGTATTCAATAAATATCTTTGAAAAAGAACCGATTTTCCCTTGTTTTAACTTTATTCAATTTATATAATAAGGTTCACCATACAAGGGTAGTATAATTAATAATGATCATCACATTTTATCAACAAATTGCGTAATTAGAAAATGTGATACCGGTACAAAAAAGTCCCCAAAAATAAAAATTACCAGCTACATAAACAATTTTATAACAAAAATAGTAAGACAAATAATTTCATGCCTATTTAATATAATAAAGATAGGCAATTGAAATAAAAAACAATAACTTACCTTTGCAGCCGCTGTCGTAAATTTTCCGACAAATATTCAAGCATGCGCCGTAGTCCCTTCCCCCGGGAAATGCAATCAATATAATCAGTTGCAGCGCTTTTTAATTTAAATACTAATTAAAATTATAAATCTTAGTTGTTTCAACTATAATAATTCAGTAAACCATTATTTAAGGCAGGAAAAAGAACAATTCTTCACAATATTATGAGCTAAATAATATAGTACGGAAACTCGGAAGTATCGGATATATTTTTCAGTTATCCATTGTTATAGCCAGTGTTGCGTAAAAGATAAGTTTATTTTTTAAATATCAGTAGTATTTTCATTTGAATTTGTCTTTAAAATATACCTAGAAAAGCTTTCAATTCATCCGTTATTTCTTTAGTGCTAATTAATAAAGTTGAAATAAATTTAATTACAAAATAATATCGATTTGTTTCATATGGTTTAATTTTCATTAGTGGCAATGTATTAAAATCTAGAATTAAAAACGTCATTTAGGCAACCCTGGTAATTTAATTTTTTAATTTGTACTATTCGTATTTCGCACTAAAATTGTTGCTTAATACTTGACCTTTATTTACTATAGAAAATATGTCGATGAATGTCTCTTCCTTAAATAATATACGGCGTAGCATTTAAATAAGATTTACAATAAGACTATGGTTAAAGATCTTCTTGAAGATTCCTTGTGGCAAGATCCAAAATATCTAGCTAAGAATAAAGTTACGCACTTAGACGATTTTTTCGCCTGTATTCTGGTCCAATTCATTGCAATCGTATAGAACCATCGACCTCAAACATGCATTTTAGTTCCAGCTGCAATGCGCAGAAATGATTATTATATGTAAATAGCCGGCAACATCTATGTTATTGGCCATTACTTTATATAGCATTGATAGTTGATACCAAAAGGTTGCGGAATATTTTTGGCCACCAAATGTTTCTTTACAACGCTTTGCAAATTAAATTTTAGAGGATTCGACGTCAGAAAATGAAAGTAGAGTATTTTTTAGAAATATTTGCTATTGCTATTAGATTAATTTCAATATTTTGCATCATTCATTAGTTAGAAACGACGAATTTAAAAATAGAAATTAATAAATGAAACGAGTAATTACGATTATTCATGACTTTATTGATATAAGATAGTAATTTATAATTAATAATTCTTATAATTATTTTAATTGTTGAATAATCCAATAAATTTACAATAATTTTAAAATGTTTTTGTATATTTTAAATTATCAAAATTAGGATAGAATTACCAAGATGTAAGAAATAAATACCTGGTTGATATCAAACTATAGTATTATAGCTTATGGCAGAAATAATTATTACAAACTAATCGTATAAATAAATAAGTAGTAAGAACATCGAAAACTAGAATATTTTAAGTTGTTTTTATATAGCGAATACATGACTTTAATATAATGAGTTCTACATGGGTTACATTGGCTAGATTCTAAGACAAAGTTTAAATAAAAGGTCCATTCAACATAAACATTCTCAGTAGCACATAAATAATTAAAGCATATCGTTGATAAATGTCTATTTACATCAAAATTTCGCCACTGCAGTGTCCATAATTATGAAAGTGATCTTAATATTTCTTATCTCGAAGTAACGTTTTGTCCTTGAAAGAATGAATATATACATTAAAAATATACAATATTCAAATTCTTAGTTTTCCTAGTTTTGATTGATGGAAAATTATTATGAAACTAGCTTTCGCCCGCGACTACGTCCACGCGAAATAAAATAAAACAATAGTAAGTGGCCTATCTGTTCTTCCAAACTATCCTCTACATTTATGACAAATTTCATCGAGAACCGTTTAGCCGTTTAGGCTACAAACTCTAACAAACATCAATCCATCCATCTAAACGTTCGCATTTATAATATTAGTAAGATAGCAAGATTATTTTTTTTTATTTAGACCACTTTCATAATTATATGGACACATACCACTTAATTTTCAATTAAGTAAAATTGTTGTATTAATGAATATTATTTTGAATAATATAAATATGAGAATAAAATCCAATCTACACGAGTAATGTTTCTACATCTACGTATACACATATTATATATATATATAACCCCTAAAAGGTTTGTTTATTTGTCTCTTTTCATTCGATTACAGAGATGTATAACTTTAACACTGAAAAATCCCAAAATAGACTGATATGGAGAAATTTTCTGGACCAGGCCCAGATTAAGCAACTGTAGTGCCTCTATGATGATAGCTTTAACGACATCTTTACCGACACTGCTTCAGTGCCCGTCAAAGGTCTTTTGACTACTAAGGGCCTGTCTCACCAAATTGTAAATTGGCTGATAAATGCTGGAAACATCTCTTTTTGTTCCATTATCTAACAGTGACGTCATTTTTAAGCTATCTGATCCTCTATCAGCCAGTGGTGGGACAGACCTATAGTCTCTAGATTATGTTTTATTAACTCATGTAACATAGAAAGTTGATAGAATATCCTAGATAGATGCTAAATCAATATATGTTACAATCATACAATTTTCGATAATTCATTTTCACTACGTACTTTTTAAGTACATATAAACTGAAGGAAAAAAGACTCGATGTAAGCAACAGAATTGTGTTTTGCAACCAAATTGTTACCTTTAGTAATAAATACATAAAAGATCTATATAGGGGATATAATGTTACACAAATGTATATTCGAACTCAGTAGAAATGAGAAATTCAATAAATAATAACCAATCTAAAAATGTTTTCTTTACATAGATGTAATTACAGACAATAAAAATGACATGTTCGTGTCGTCAATTTAAAATATTAAAACTTTTACAAAATAATTCCATAATAAATGACATTTCTGCCAGTGAAATGTGAAAATATATCTCATTTCCATTGAATTCGACTATTGTTTTTATTATACATTCTTGAATAAACTAATAATAATATTTGGAATGTTTTGGTTAAAATATTTAAATTGCTATGTGAATGTTTACTACAATTTTATAACACACATATTAGAAGGTACCGTAAAAAGTGTGAATATAAATATAGAAATAAATATCATTTCCTCCATCAATATCAGAAAGTAGTAAAATGTCATCAACACAATATGTAATCTAAAACAATTCCTTCAACTCGAAAAATTCAAATCACAGATATTTAAATAAACTTTCTAACACTAAGTAACGTAAAGAACTTCTTATTTGGCCGCCGGCCACGGTAGATAGCTTCCCCAGCCTTTACTTGTATTTGGATCTTGACCTAAAAACATACACAATTTTTATATTCCAGTTTCCACAAACACAATATTTATTTGAAATTTATTGCATGCTCATAAGCAACATGACTCACTGTCTCTTGCCCGCAACTTCGTCAGCGTGGAATTAAAAAAATATATAAAAAGTTAGACAATCCCATGTTATTCCCACATACATTAGAAGTCCATTTAAAATAGTTTCGGAGATTAGCCGAATCAAATACGGACTTGCGGACAGACAGACAAACTATATTTTTTTGTACGTAAATACATCATGTGATATTAAAAAAAAATTAACATTACAGAGAGTCATTTTTATTAACTGTTTAGATATAGATTAGTATTTTGCATATTTTAATTTAATTGTACTTGAATACTGAATATGTTAACTAAAGCACATGATGAATTTCGACCAATTCAATATCAAGTTAATTTGTATTACCTTTGGCAACCGCCTGTATCTTCTGTGTCTCCTCCGGCGTGAGGGACAGGATCTTCTGCAGCACCGGGATCAGGCGAGTGCGCTCGTCACCCGGAGGTAACGTGAGGAACTAGGAACACAAGCAATTTTCAAATATATTACGCAATGAAACCTTGTTATTAAATATTTTTTACCATTATGTGGCAAATGAGAGAGAGGTCCTGTAAATTTGCCAAGCAACCCTTTTTTGATGTTGTCAGCTTGTAGTTTTTGTCCCTTTCCCGCACGATGTTTTTCGGAATTACTAATTTTCTAAGTTTGATAGCGTGAAAATGCTTAGAATGATAGCCTGAAGCGTGTCGTGAGTGTATTTATTTTTATTAAAAAAAGTATTATTCAAAAATATGCTGTGATTGCTAACATCCTACATAACAAAGTTTGTGTTTACGCTTTATTATATTAGTACAGTAGTATAGAAGGTATAGAGAATGTTTGATGAAACAGCAGGTAAATTGTCCTTCAATGTCGTACCTTGAAGGTGACGTTCTTGAGGTACTCAGTGTTGTGCGCGTGGTCCGAGTCACCGCGCGCGCGGCGCAGCTCGCCCTTCAGCAGCTCGCTCAGCTGCGCCATGCGCGCGCACTCGCGCTCAGACTCCGCCAGCAGCACCGTCACGTGCTTCACCCTGCGCACATCACCACTCTCAGGTGTTGCTCATCACTAATTATAAAACTCTCAAGGATTTTATTACCCACTTTCATTTCCCCACTCATGTGAGGTCGACATGTAAGACTATAATGTTCAACTTAATGTTTTGGCAAATATTTTCAACTCCTCTATGATTATTGTTTCGTATATTTACTGTTATAGAGGTTAAAAAAGCAGTTACTATAACGCAAATCTATGATCGTTTAAATTGCATTGCAAGTGCACATCAATTTTATAGTTTTACATTGAATTTATTTTTTTTTAAAAATTAGCTGTTGCTCGCGACTTCGTCTGCGTGAAATAAAAAAAATGCCCTGATTACTAACTGATAGCTTTACAATGGTTAAATGAATTTTGAAATGGGCCCAGTGGTTTTTGAGTTATTTTAATACATACAAAAATGCAAATCTTTCCTCTTCATAATATTAGTATAGATTAACTACTTTGAAATCGCAATAAAAGGCATATATTAATTTTCAAACACGTTACCTATGCTTTTGTCCTTGTAATTTCCGCCTCAGCTCGGCAATCTCCTGTTCCGGGGAGAGTGCGAGCGCGGAGACGTCGAGCGCGTCGTCGTCGGGCACGCCCTCCTCCAGCAGCCGCTCCAGCGGCACGGGCGAGCGCCTGCCCTCCGCGCCGCCGCCCTCACCGCCACCGCCCCCGCCCCCGCCGCCGGGGAAGTACGCCTTCGACAACACCGGAGACGACGCGGACTCTGAACCCTAATCACCAAGGTTTTACGGCGTTAACAAAATATTTATTTCTATTAGTTACTTTGTATAAGGATTACAAAAATCATTCGATCGCCCTTTACGTAAAAGATTACGTTTTATCGCCCGCTGTTACTATTGTAAGATAGGTTCAATTTAAATGAAATTAATTATAACGGATAAAAAATACCTCTCCTTCTTCCCTCGGTATCATGGAGACATTGAAGTCCATTTCACTATCGCTTTCGTCCTTAGGTATGAGGGGCAGCATGTACGGCTTGTCGGGGCCGCGGTCGGCCACGCCGGCCTGGTGGCGTTGCTCAGCGGCCGCGAGCTGCGCACGCAACGAGTCCGCCTCTTTCTGCAGCTTCATCTCCAATTCGCCAAACTGAACCTTGTAGCACTGAGTCAAAGTCGACACCTGCAGTGAAATTTTTTATAAAGACTCTGTTATTTTAATGCTTTAACTACGTTCCGAAGAAAATAAAAAGAAACGACATGTCTTAACACTTATAATGTTGGTTTAAATGGACTCCGTCCGCGTGGAATTATAAAACAACATAAGTGAGTAGCCTATGTGTTCTTCCAGACTATCATCTACGGCTATGCCAAATTTCATCGAGATCGGTTCAGCCTACAAACTCTAACAAACATCCATCCATCTAAACTTTCGCATTTATAATATTAGTAAGATTGCCCTAAGTCTATTTGAAGTGGATTGCGAATTTAATAAATCGAGCGCACCTGCAGCCTGTGCTGCGCTCTCTCGGCCTCTAGCTGTTGCGAGAGGCGCGTGAGGTCGGCCTGCAGGCGCGCGGTGCGCTGGTGCGCGCGCGCCGCCTCCGCGCCCGCCTCCGCCACGCGCTTACGCCCCGCCTCCGCCTCCGCGCTCTGCTCCGCGTACTGCGCTCTGATGTACATGTTCATTTCAATTAAAACAACACAGAACTAAAGTAACCGAGACGGTAGTGGTACCTAATAATATAGAAATTGTAGAATATCGCATTTATATTTTGTCGCTATCTGTGTTCTAACCTAAAATAATTAACGATCGAAAAAGTTATAATTATAAACAACAAAAGTTATTTTTAAATTAATACACTTATATTAACATACTGTAAAGTATTGAAATTAGCAGTGAGGGTTTCTATCTGAGAGAGGAGCGCGGCGGTCTCCTCCTTGAGCTGCTCCTCGTGACTGTGGTCCACGGTCTGGTTCTGACGCAGCACAGCCTGAGCCCTCACCTACAAACATTCACATGTTCATTTTCAATCAGCAATTCTGTGTAAAAAAAAAACACTTTTGAAACATCAAATCGGCTCAACTGCGGCGATTGTAAACTTACTTTATAGCTTGTGTACTCGGTTTTTAAATCAGCCAATTCAATATTGGTAATCTTTAACTTCTCATTTATATCGGCACATTTGAACTCTAGCCTTTTCATTTTATTATTCAATTCCGTCTTTTCCTCTCCCAAACTGATTATAATTTTCTCCTTTTCACTTAAAAGTGCAGTTATTTCTAATTCAGATTCTTCAGTTTTTCTTTTTTCATCTTCCAAGTCTTGCATCAATTTTGATATTATATCTTTCTTAGAATTAAGTACGTTTTCTTTTTCTTTTCCATCTTCAATGGCATGATGCAATTCTTCCCTTAATAATCTATTCTGGGTTTCTTCTGTTTTAATTTGTTCTTCCAGTAATTTAATTTGCGTCTTCATGGCATTAATAGTTCCTTCTTGCGTGTCTATTGTGGATTCCATCTGAAATAACAGAATAGTAGTTTTTTTTTTTTTTTAAATAAAATGAATGCATAAGAGAATATCCAATGGAACTATAACACACTTGAATAATTTTTTTCTTATTTTCTTCCATCTTGGTAGTAAGATCCTTCATAGATCTTTCATAGTCTTCCATTTCAAGACTTAGAACATTCTTCTTCTTCACATCTCGGAGAGCTTTTTCTAATTGCTCTTTAGTTGCTTTATGTGCTTCTTTCTCTGCATTTATCTGTTGCTCTTTACTCTCTAGTTGCACTAAAATTTAAGAAAAGGCAATAAATATACGGAAAAAATCTTTGATTTTAATTTTTAAATGAAAACCATACCTTCAAAACTTTTTAATTTTTCCAACGAAATTTTAGACACGTCCAAAGCGTGACTTAAAGATTTAACCTTTTCATTCAATTCGACAATTTCCTGGGTTTTTTCGACAGTTTTACTTGCACCATCTATTTCATCACTATTGCTTGTAGCAATCGTTTTATTTTGATCCCCACAAACACTTTCGTCTAACATTTTTTTGAGTCTTACATTTTCTTGTTCCGTATTTTGTAACTGAGCTGTAACTTCTTTCAATTTTCTCTTTAGTTTAAGTGCAAACATTCTTAATTTCGTATACCTGGATATAAATATTATTCTTATTAATGACATTCAATGACAATAAAAATAACCTTTACTAATACAATGAGACAATTTACTTGTCCTCAAAAGTCTCGTCCAAGTCCTTCATTCTGGAATGTTCCTCGGCTTTGGAGATTGTGGATGTCGACATGTCATCACCGGGCAATTCCGATGCTAGAGGAATAATACATAAGTTTAAAGCAATTTATAAATCTGTCAAAAAACTAATGTTATAGAAGACAATGAAAGTTAACTGAAATAAGTCCAATCTATTACAAACTTTTAAGAAGTTGTTTGTAGATGCAATTCGATTTACTAAAAGATGATAAATGTAAAAATCTCACCAGAGGTAAATGTCTGCTGTTTCAACCGTTCAACATCTTCCTTCAAGTTCGCAATGATGATCTCTTTATCAAGTAGCATTTGAGATGCATTGTCTTTTTCTAGTGTAATTTTTTTCATGTCATCACTGTTTTGACTTGTAACTTGATTTGCTGTTTTTAAATCACGTTCTAAAGTTTCAATTTTCTGTACTAAGTTCTCTCTCTCTTCTTTCATCTCATCTCTATCTTTTTCCAACGATTCAATAAGTTTTTCCATTTCAGAAACTGCCTTTTGCAATTTGGATATTGATTCACCGCGTTCTTTGAGAACCTCATTTATTTCTTTCATTTCATTTAACAATTCTGTGTTTTCTGTTTTGTAACTAAGTAATTTAGATTTTGAATCCTCACATTCACTAATTATGTTGTCATAGTTTATTACTTTGGCACGTAATTCTTTCGTTTCCGTTAAAAGAGACGCATTTTCTTGTTTGTAAGCAGACAACTTCGTTTCTAGCTTAACAATGTCTGCTTGCAAGGAGACATTTAGGTCTGATAAATGCTCACTATCATCTTTCGGTTGTTCCAAAGATAATTTAAGTGTCTCTACTTCTTCTCGTAATAATCCATTTAAGTCGAGCAAATCCTCATATTCTTTTTTGAGCTTATCATTCATTTCTTGCAGAGAAATCAGTTTTGTTTTTTCCATTTGGTTAACTTCTGCATCTTTTGCTGTGTTATTGTTTTCTTTTAGGGTTGAAATTTCTTGAGACAATTTTTCGATAAGAGATTCCTTTTTACTTATATCTTCTTTCATTGAATCAACCTCAATTACATAATTTTTATTCTGAGTTTCTAATACAGCAACAACATCTCTATTAATTATTTTTTCTTTTATTAAAATTGTTCTTTCGGTTTCCAGATTATTTAATTCCGCCTTTAACATATCAATTGTGCCACCGTTTAGACCACAATCTACAATATCACCAAGTCTTGAGTTTTTACCTTCAAGCAGTTCAACATTTGCCGTAAGTTCTGCATTTTCCTTATTCACTTTGTTTATTGTTTTAGTTAACTCATTTACTTTTTCATGTAATATTTTATTTTCTGTCACACTTTCATCCAGCTGTGACTTTACTGATTTGTGTTGCTTCAAACTGACGGTGTTGTTTTTTTTTTTATTTTTCAAATTGGTTTTCGTTGACTCACTAATTTGTTTTTCCAAATCGCACAATTTATTTTTCAAACCCTTATTTTCTTCACTTAATTCGTTCATTAATCTTTCATGGTCTACAAAATTACAGTTACTTTTTGCATCCATTAACTGATTACGTAAATCCAGAATTTCATCCTTAAGGGATACATTTTTATTATTTAGTTCATTAATTTGTTTATCAAGAACTTTGGATGCTTTAATTATTTCATCTTGCCATTTAGGAACATTTTCAGAATATTCCTTTACTGTTTTAGACAAAATAAATCTTGAATTCTGCAATTGACTTATGCAAGCTGCACATTTTAATATCTTATCTTTATAACTTCGCAATTTAACATTGACTTTTTCCTTTTTATTTTTTTCAGACTCATAAAGGATGGTCATTTCTTTCGCCTTATTGTCTAACGCAACAACTTTTTCTTCATAACTGGAGACTTTGACTTTAATATTGTGTTCCAGCTCTTTAATTTTTTCATTGAGCTCTTTAATTTTGAGCTCTGAAGAGTCATCTGAAAGAAACTTCAAAATGTAAACGGATGCAATATCCGATATAGTTTAATAAATCAAAGCTGCCAAATTCAAAAACAGTTTATGCAAAGATATAAAACATCATACAGTACACACTTTTATTTAAATTGAGTAAATCTGACCTGATTGAAACTTTTGTTCTAGTATTTCAAGTTGTTCTCTCTGTTGCAGACCAATGTTGTTAAACTCAGCAATCCTTGCTTCCATATCAGATAACTGGGTGATAAGTTGTTCATTTTCTTCCACAAGACGGTTATTTTGCCTTTTAAGCGATATAATTTCACTATCATAATTTGACAACTTTTGAGAAATGTCAGCAATATTTTGTTCCTTTATAATTATATCTGCTTTAAGCCTGTTGATATCTTCTTCAAAGCTATGGCACTTTTCACCCAATGCCTTGACTTTAGCCTGTGCTTCATCTATCTCAGTTATATAGTTAAGTTTTTGTTCTGTTAAAGAATCAACAAGTTCTTGCAATGTCTTATTATTTTGTAGATATGTATTCTTCTCAGTTTCACATATTTCTAACTGCTGTTTGTAGGTTTCAGTTTGATTTTGAAATTCTGGAAACAATAATAACAAGTTTAAATTTAATGGGGTTCACAACATTGTAATGGTATATGATCAGTTTTACTAATAAACATTCAAAGATTCAATGTTTAACATTTTTCATACATCATAGCAGTTTAGATAGGCACAAGTCGCTGTGCAGAACACAATTATAATTGAATCAGGGTATAACAGGACGCAGGAGGACCCTCCACATCGCACAGCTCAATCCACCAAAAAGATTTAAATTATCCATAGAATGTTTTGGTAATATCTTTTTTACTGACATTATAATAAAACAGTTTTCTTTACTTACGATATTGAAAGATGTAAGGTTGTTTTGGCTATATCATAATTTTGTATATTCAACAGAATTACAAATTGAAAATCAAAATGAACTATAAAGCGCACTTTACAATAAACAAACAAAACACATGTGCAAGAGTTGTAGAGTAGTTATATCTTATGTTTATTCATTTACTAATCCTTTAAGCTATGGAATAAAATTGAGAGAATTCGCCAGTCGGCTAACACTTGGTGCTTCAAAGATATACTTAGTTAACAATTTTACAATACTAAGATGTACAATATTGACTTTTATTGAGACTTAATCCTTGACATTATCAATCCCACTGTCTTTATTCTATTTTAACACTAACAGTGCAATAAATACTTTACCAGACTTTGCCTGCTTAGCTTTTTGAGCTATAGCAAGTAATCCTTTACATTTTGTTATTAGTTCTTCTTTTGATAACTCATCAAAAGGATTCTTTTTAACACCATCTGGATTCTGAAAGATGTGATAGTATATTACTAACATTTTAAACGCCAGCCCTAAGTACACAGCAGTATCAACTTACACTTTAGTCTTGTTAGTTAAGGTAGACTTAAGCAACAAATACATGAATATTTTAATAAAGAAATTTGTAATTTATCTTATACAAATTTAAATTTAAAATTTGTTATATGGTGTAACAGTAATATATTCAAATTTACATGTAATAGTGAGGGATATAGTGCTAGTGCTAGTGCTAGTGTTTTATAAAGTATATCAAATAATTAACGGCACATTTATTATCATACAGGGTTAGAAATCAAAATAGTTTTATCATTCAAAATGCTTATCAATAATTTTTTTAAATGAAAAAATCTTTTGAGTAGTAGTATTTCAATGGTATTTATATGTCTGTTTTACATTTTTTGATTCTCTAGGGTGGGGCAGCAGCCCTCCCCCACCTCCCTTTGGCGACGCCCCTACTTATTGATTTTGAAGATGCTGAGTATAAGGCGCTACAATGTTTTTATAAGGGGGCTTTCGCCCATGGAAGCCACTATACCAGAGTAATATTCAAAACCTCACTACACTCAACTGTGATGATTTGCATTGAAAGTATGAAGCTTACATGGGTTATTTTGCCTGATCAGACATCGTGAGAATATTTAGATAATAAATACATATGTATATACAAAACGGCCGTTCATAATGTTTTATTACCTTTTTATCACTCTCCATTCTTGATCTTACAAGGGATTTTCAAGACATAAGATTTAACGGATGTTGTTTTAAAATAAACTACATCCGTAAATCATGTTTGTTCTGTTTAGATATTGAGCAATATCGAAATTAAGTTCCGATGACTATACCACTTGCATTTTAGCTGTCAACTTAATAAATAAAATAATTCCTTTTCAACGTCACTAATTACAAACTCACAAATCACAAATGTCACAATATAATCAATAATCAATAATCAAAGATCAAAGTCAAGTTGGACGAACTGCCAGCTGCCAGACCAAAAGTTATTTATTCCACATTTTCAGGTTAAATAAAAATTATGTTTTATGATCAAAATGAGTTGCAACAATCTTAAATTAAAGAGTGTTTCAAATATATAAATTACTTCAGTTTCGTTTTCTACTTACATTAAAAAATAAGCGGTTGGCACAGACTATGACATAGCTTTGCGACATTTATAAATGGCGGCTCTAGTCATAAATGCTGTCGTCGTTTTTTGTGTGAAATAGTTCCCAATTTTCTTTTCACTGGTCTATAATTTCAGTGTTCTGAATACATTACAATATGGAAATGTGATTGAATTATTACTTTTGACATTGTTGTTATTTTTCATAATTCTACAAGTAAGTGTATTATCAGTAAGTTATCGTGCTAGCGACTAAATTTTGTTTTAATTTGACTGCGGGGCGCGTCCATGAGTAATGTTATGGTCTCTGCTGTCCACAAATAAATAGGTCCCTTCGTTATAATTAGTTGAAACCCGTTTCTATAGATTCGAAGACATATATCAACACAGACAATAATAAATAGCATGTCTGCGTCATAACCAACATGTTTTGCAGTAGTGTATTGGAACGTATTATAACCATTTATAGGACTCGGACTAGCTTGCACAATGTCGAGCGATGAAGACAAACCTCCAGCGCCTCCAGTGCGATTGACAAGTAACCGAGCCACCGATCGCGGAGACTCCGTAGCTTCTGTGGATATGAGGCCACTGCCAAAAGGTAATGTAATTATATTCTGTACCAAACCATTTTTTCTAAGTGAGTCACTTGCCTTATACATGTTATCATTGTTTTTCACAATGGGAACTTATAGAAAATCTGGTCATGGATTCTGGCTTGTGTTCATAATGTTGTGTGAATCATTATCTTAGATTAACTTGAAATATTGATTGTAATTTATGTTTACAGAACCTGATGATGGTGGTGATAGGAAAAAGAAAACACTAAAGGCTAAAATAAAAGGCTCTAAAAGTACAGCTCACAATGATAACAAACCTAATATTAGTTATCCCACCAACTTTGAGCATACTGTTCATGTGGGTTTTGATGCAGTTACTGGAGAATTTACAGTAAGTCAAATATTATATATTTTGATATAGTTCATAGATGTGGCAAAAATTATCCAATAGCAGTTGATAGAAATACCATGTGATAAGGCTCATTGTTACAAAGAAAAGAAACATAATTGGATTGTGAAATAAACTTTAAATAATGAAAATTGATATTTATTTTGCAATGTGGTAGTTTGATATAAAACTATAATTTGATATCTAAAAGCTTATGTTTAGAACCGAGCTTTTTGCCTTATATTTGTATTGCATATTTGCTTTTTAAACATAATTGAAATCCATTGGTATATAAAATAGTTATAACAAAAGAGTCAGATAATTTAGAACCTTAACCTTCTAATGTGAATGTTTTGGAATAGTGTATTTAAAAGTGTTAAAACATGGCAAGAATTATTGGTGCATGTTATGCATTTTCTAGAACCCTGTTATCAACTTAAAAAACTCATAGTATGATGATATATAAATATTCCTATAAGATTAAAAGCATTGGTAGTGTTTTATTTGACAAATTTTATATGACAATGTTTAATTTCTGTTATAAAAGGACATATTATCGAATTCCATGTATTACCGCTTTTGTTTCAAGCTGCCTCTGACAGTAAGTAATAGCTTATGTATTTATAAGTTTATGCATTATTATCTTATGTACTCTTTTTAGATATTGTTTAATGCTATATCATTTATAGTTAACAAAATATTGAATCAAAATAGTCATAAAGTTATTGTTAGTTTACTTTAATATGACATACCATATTTTATAGGTTTTTTAATATCTTATAAATATTTTTGTATTACATTTTAGGTCACTAGTTAAAACATATAGCAGTATTAGCTAGTTTTCAATTATTATAGTTCTTTTTTCTACTTTCTATCATTCATATCATTGTTATGTATTTATTCAAATTTTTTGCTGTGCTTAATATATCTTGTGTTTGTATTAAAATTAGCAAAAGCCATTTCTATATCAATTCTGTATTTCCAGTAAGATTTTCCTTTTATTTTCTCGCCTCATGATTTATATATGGATGTAAAGAATAGTAAAACATTAATATGGTATAATATTTAAACAAATATCTGTATTGTCCATTGCACAGGGCATGCCGGAGGCCTGGGCGAGGCTGCTAATGGCCTCCAATATTAGTAAACAAGAACAGAAGAGCAATCCCCAAGCTGTTCTCGATGTCCTCAAGTGGTATGATGCCTCTGCGACCCAACCACCAGCATCCAAATACATGACCTCTGCACAGATGCATACAACCCATTCAGGTAATAAAATGCTTTATGTTAGTCCATTTTTAATGAAAGTGGGTTCTCAATTTTGTATATTTTAATCAAGTTTCATTAAAAATTCTCCCTTACGTTTATTTCATTGAATATCTCCACCTGTGTGTCTTTTTTTACAGGTTCTTCAGTATCTCGAGTGTCGTCTAGTAGTCCATCATCATCAACTCCAACAGACACGGAGCACCCGGAGCCTCCGCCGCCGCCTCCGTCGCGACCTGATCGTACTAAAAGTATTGTAAGTTCTCGCCATGTTCCTTTTCTATGTTCATATTATTTTTACTTTTGAAAAAACAGAATCTCTAATTTTATAAAAATCTATGTGATCTATTAATACTTACTGAATACTGTGTTTTCAGTACACAAAACCCATAGAAGAAGAGGAAGCACCTCCGGCGAGGCCGGTCGCCCCGCCCGCCTCGCCGCCGCACATCTCGCATCCCAACATAACCACTCATTCAGTAAGGACTTCCTAAAAATTTTAAATTGAGTTTTGTATAACAGGAGACTTATATACCAGGAGTTAGTACCGATAAAAAGAAATTAATTAAATTATGAGTGGATCACTTTGTTTTGGGAATATGAATTTTCATCTTATTTGTCTGATAGTTAAAATAAATAGCGGGCTTATGTTTGGTTATTTAACTTTTGTATTTGTTTGTAAGCAGATATGCAGCCGAGTGGATGTGGGCGGGTCCCCGTTGCCGCTGGACCGCAACAAGAACCCGGCGCCCGCGGCCGCGCCTCAGACACCACCCGCGCACCCCCCACACCCGCCACACCCGCAGCACACCCCGCACGCCCCCATCGCGCCCCCCGCCAACGGCGCACAGACCAACACCGACACGGGGTAAATATACTACTAATTAGCACCAGTTACATTGAAAAAATTGTAAAGCATATGACGCTTATAACAATGATAAATTATAATTTATGAAGATCATATATCTGCAGACGAGCAACTGGTCAACAGCAAAGAAAGAAAAAAATGACTGATGAAGAAATTTTAGAAAAATTAAGAACAATAGTTAGTGTTGGTGATCCAAACAGGAAGTACACAAAAATGGAGAAAATCGGGCAGGGGTAAGTTTATACATATTGTTGATTATGGTGCCCATATTGCATGGTGTATCAATTCAACATTTATCTTGAATAACAAATATCTTTTGATACAATAAGTGATACATGATTCCAGTGCGTCAGGTACGGTGTACACGGCCATAGAGACGTCGACAGGCATGGAGGTGGCCATCAAGCAGATGAACCTCAGCCAGCAGCCTAAGAAGGAGCTCATCATCAACGAGATCCTCGTGATGCGGGAGAACAAACACAACAACGTTGTCAATTATCTAGACAGTTATCTCGTCAATGAGGTAACTGATTGCATACTTTTAAATAAAACAAAAGGTCAATTTGGACATGTTTTATTTCTTTTTTATTGTGGGTGTGGTAAATCTCATTTGATAATTGAAAATGTTGGTTTTATATTTGCAGGAGCTATGGGTCGTTATGGAGTACCTCGCGGGCGGGTCCCTGACGGACGTGGTGACGGAGACGTGCATGGACGAAGGGCAGATCGCCGCCGTGTGCCGAGAGGTGCTGCAGGCGCTGCACTTCCTGCACACCAACCACGTCATACACCGCGACATCAAGTCCGACAACATACTGCTCGGCTTGGACGGACAAGTTAAATTAAGTAAATATACTGTTTTATATATAACTAGCTTTTGCCGCCACTCCGTCCGCGTGAAATTTAATAATAATAAAATAGAAATTAAATAAAATGTAGCCTATGTTTCTCACAGCTAAATTACCTTTTTAACAGTGAAAGATTTTTTGAAATCGGCCCAGTAGTTTTTGAGCCTATTCATTACAATGAAAAAAAGTTTTCGTCTTTATAATATTAGTATAGAAAAGTGCACCTCGATGTAATGCAACTTAACGATTTGTAATTCTTTAATAGCCGACTTCGGATTCTGTGCTCAAATATCGCCGGAGCAAAATAAACGAACGACGATGGTGGGGACGCCATATTGGATGGCCCCCGAAGTTGTAACAAGAAAGCAGTACGGTCCTAAGGTAAAAATGAAAACAGTAGTACACTAAAGTCATAAACATTCTTTTTGAATTCTTGGACTAAATTTGATATATGTTCCAGGTGGATGTATGGTCTTTAGGTATAATGGCAATTGAAATGATCGAAGGCGAACCTCCGTACTTGAATGAAAATCCACTTCGCGCACTTTATTTGATCGCGACGAATGGCAAGCCCGATATCAAAGACAAGGAGAAGCTCAGCACTGTGTTCCAAGATTTCCTAGATCAATGTTTAGAAGTCGATGTTGAGAGGCGCGCGACGGCGTTAGATTTACTTAAGGTAATTTCTACTACCAATAACTGAAACCAATTGCAACTTTGTTCTAATTTACAACTTAAAACAAACCTGAACTTATTACTAAATACAGTATTTTCGTTACAGCATCCATTTTTAAAGATGGCGAGACCGTTGGCGTCTCTAACTCCTCTAATTATGGCCGCGAAAGAGGCTGCAAAAGGACATTAGCGCAGGCCACCGGCGCCCGCAGCGCCCGCGCGATTCTAGTGCCCCCAGTGCCTATACGTGCTGTACACGTGCGTACACGTGCCTGAACGTGCTGTACACGTACGGACATATGAACCAAACTATACATGTAAGCTGCGAACATTCAGCAAAACATAATGCAGTGTTATGGTAAAGTATGTTGTCAGTGAAGTTACAAAGCTATTAAAACAGGCTTATTTTGTAAAGTGGCTGCGATGTGTTACATAAGTGATCGTATTTTTACAAAAGAAATGTTAATAAATGTGCAGTCCAGTAGTTGTAAAGTTGTGTAGTATTGTGTAGAAACATTATTTATTAAAGATTGCTAGCCCCGGCGAGGTATCAGTCTACTGCGGGACGAATCGAAAGGGATATATAGGGTGTAGATATACTGTAGCATTAGGAGTGGAATTTGAAATGTAACAAAATAATCTGCAAATGAAGACTGGCAGTTAACTTTTAGAAGTTGTAAAGTATAAATAGTAGATGTACTGTAGTTCTGTATTAGTTATATAACCGGATCAGCTTTTAACTGTGATGGTAGTGGGTAGACTGTGGCGGCAGTAGGCTGATGCACTCGCTCGGAGTGTAGGAGGGGGAGGGGGGGCGTCGCGTTGCCCCGCCTCAGATGCGGTTGTTTCAAAGGGTAAAGTTGTCAGTTTTATAACTCGGAAATAATAACGCTACGAAGTGTTTCCTATTTAAGAATAATGGTTATATTAAGGTCCCGCTTTAAGAGGGGTTATAGCATCAAGTATTTCAATGAAAACTAGTGAGTGAATGAATATCAATATAAATAATGAATTAATTTTGACTGAGATTTGATCCTATAGGCAGTATATCTGTTGGCTTACATTGCTTATTATAGTCGGTACATGCGCTAGTTTTATGTATAATTATACATACATTATCATTGTATTTATATTTTTTAAACTGCTTATGTATTTTTTATCCTAATGACATTTGTATATGGAAATAAGTTTTAGCACGGTTGCGATTTTAATATTTTTGACATGAACATATTTACAGTAGCAAAGTTTACGTATTGTATTGTTTTAAATTGAAGACATTGTTACTTTAAGTATTAATAAACTAAAATATTTTGATGGATCCATTTATTGTTAGTCATCAAATTGAAGCATTTACCTAGTATTAAGTTTATATAGTTTATTGATTATATTTGAAATCAGAAAAGTCGGCATCTTTTGTGGCACAAAAGTATTATTAAGCTTTTAAATGAACAATTGTAAATTACGAAACTTAGATAGAATATGAGAGATTGTTTACCTTCTATATGATAAGACAATAGCTCCATAGCTAGAGTTGGATACAAATAATAAATGCAAGCAAAATGTACTCCGGATATCTTTGTTTAGTGTATTGTACTCGTCTCTGCTTTCGTTTATAGGTTGTGCCAGAAGACGCCATTAAATTTCCTTTGAAATTGTTTATGTTTGCTATTTTTTATTAAGCTTGTAAGAGAGAGAAGTGGAGAGCATGTTTTGAATGTTTGAGAGGAATTATGTTAACAAAAGCGAAGAAAATCAGTGTCACCTGTAGACTGTATAGATACAAAAAAGCAGTGATTAGTACTTTTTGACAATACAAAGTGACCAATTAACGCTATATAGAGTTCTTACATTTGATCCCGGTTGGTGCAATGTGACGGTGATTCATTATTGATGTTAATGTTTGTTTTTATTATAGGTTTGCTTATTACATATATCTGGAGCTATTAGCATATCGTTTTAAATGCAATATAATTTATATATGTATATTATTCGTCGAATACTCGCCGTCTTGAGGCCTAATATAGACTATGTTTGACATTCAAATGTGGCCTATTATTAAAATGCACATAAATCATGCCCGCACCAACCACTGCTAAAATGTGCAACAACATAGAAATATGCAAATATGTAGCCAAATTATGTTGGCAATTTTTAATGAAAACGTTTAGTATCAGACTAAATTTTAAGGCAAACAATATTGTGATCATGAAAATGAATTTGGAGTATGCATTTGGTAAGATAAAAAACAACTGTAATTATGTAATCTAATTTGAAATGTATTATAAATGTAATGAAATATGAGACATTTAAATGGTTTTCATATATTTTGAGAGTTGTATAACACCAGTGCCATGTCTAAGTAACTTGTGCATATAAAATACAACCATACTATAATAAAAAGACTCACCATTATTATATCTTTTCATTTGTTGTGACGTTTAATCCAGTTATCACTTTTTTGGTTCATCATGATTAATAAAATAAAAAACAACTTAGCGTAAAAATATTTATTGCAATATTTTCACTACCACATTACAATTCAAATGCTATATAGACTCGCAAAACTATAAATAATTGAAATTAAAGATAATGGGTAAATTATTGTGTTATTATTAAATAAAATGACTTAATTTGGTAACTAAAATGTTTTATATTGAGGTATGTGTGTTTAACTAAGTTAAGGCACATAGCGAAATATTTATTTTGTTATTACGCAATTAAACTAACGAAATATAAATAGGTTAGTGTTGCTAAATACATTTTATAAAATAGCTCTCGCTTTATAAATATGACGAGAACACAATATGCTATAGTGTTGTGCAATTTAAAAAACTTTGCGTAGATGTTTTGGAAGAACTGTATAATTCTTAAATACACTTTAGTTAAATCGTCCTAGCTGACCTTAGAAAAGTTATTAAATTTCGTATTTACTTCATTTTAAGGTTTTACTACCTTTTGAAATAGATAGAAAACAAACATACAATATATTAACAGTTTATGTTATCCAATAATTTACTATGGCCTTCAAACTTCTATAAATTTCAGACCTCGCGCTTTTCATATTTACAAATCAAATTTTATATACTAATGAGTACATAATACATAAAACAAGCATATTTTGCTGTTGTTTACATTTTAGTATATAAAAAAGACCTACAGTTGGTGATAAAAAATCTACTGGATACATGGTTCATTGTACTTATTTTTAGTTTACGACTTAGAAATAAAAATTAATCAAAAACGGATATGTTTCGTTTTGTTTATTTATTTGGAAACAAGTTATTTTGTTATGCTTTTGAATAATGATGTAACATGTAGATGTTACTTGTTAATTCCATAAATACCATAAATAGTACATAAAAGAAAAATAATACCAAATGTATTTAAAAGTGTTCAGCATAGTATTTATTAATACTTAAAAATCTTTCCAAGTAATGTAGATAAATAGAAATGTATATAGAATGTACGCCATCTAATCTTATTTGTTAATCCTATTTGAATTAAGTATTTACATCTACAATAATACATAGCAGTAAAATCGCAAAGTTTTAAATACTACGCATCAAAAAATATACTCTCCTTGAGTGTTGATAAAAAAATAATGAAAATGTAGTTTTTTATTCTAACCCTGAAAAGTGCGAGGTCTTGGGATTTGATACATTTTGATTATCGTGAAATAGATTTCTATCACATTTAGTCCGCTCTCTCCTCAGCCGGTATGAAGTCCAACGATGCGGAATTAATACAAAAACGTTTCTTAGTCGGTGCTGGGCCATCATTGAACACATGTCCCAGGTGAGCGGAGCACTTGGAGCATCGCACCTCAGTTCGCACCAAACCTGGCCGTGTTAAAACCAGTAATATATTTGCTCCAACTTTGATTCCACATACCGAGTCCATTCACCAATAAGCCGTTTATTTACACATCACAGTAACAGCGGTGATGTATTAATAACATTATCCCATATGATTTTCGTTGTTCGTGTAGTGAGGAGTGCAGAGTATGTTGTCGCAGCGGCGGCCGACGTCCGCGCGGCCCGGCAGCCATCCAGATGGAGCAGAATGGAACGGGACAAGGCAGGGCAAAATGAGGAATGGGATAATTGCAAATTAATGTCATGCACATTCCACAATTGTTAAAGTGACAAATATGGTAATGCAGTGTAATAGACATGCACCGTGCAACATTGTTATGATACGCAATTTATGTATGACGGCCACAATAAAAGATGAAAATTTTATGCAAAGATATTCCAATTAAATTGTCAAGTGTAAAGAAATGTGATAAGAATGCAAAATGATATATGTGAGTGATATGAATGTATTATAGATATAGTATAAATTTAAAAGAAAACAATAAGCATAAATAATAAATAGTATAAAAATACATAAATTAGTTTACCAAACAATTGCCGACTTACGTTTGTTTTGTGGTGGACAGGATTGTAATTCAGGTTTGTCAAGGACACGGGCAAGACAGACAAAAAAGATAAAAAAAATGCATTAGCACCAAAGTCCAAAATTTTCCTTCACCTCATTTAGTAAGGTCAATAAAATTTATTAGTGTTAAAAAGGGAGTTATGTACAAATCTTAAAAATACAGTTATCAATTTACACTTTAGGTACATATTTGTTGTAACAAAGGTCAAACTAGCATTAAATTCAATTGATATCAGAGCCTCTTTAGATTTGGTTCGTTTTATACAATATGTAATTGTGCTAATATAATCACTTTTCTCTGAATAATGTACAATACTAATTTTCTTCCATAAATAAGGGTAAATAGGAGTAGGCAGTAACTCAATAAATAAACATGAGTAAAATAATTATAAAATCATTAGATCCACAACTTAAAACATAATTAAGTACAGTAAAAGCATATAGTATTTCATAGTTATGAATATAAAACAACTGTTTTATTTCATAGTCATTTTTTATTATTAGTATTTGAGTGTTTAAAGAATCAAGATGGCATACAATATAACAGAAGTAGAAGTAATAAATATGTTTGGACCATTTGAAAAAAATAAGAACAAAAAACATGATTTATACTGCTTAAGAAAATATTAGCATGGTATAGCAACATATCATTTATTATTTTACTAAACGAAATGAAAAAGCAAAAAAAATGAAGCAATTTAAATGATGTGTCAAAGCAGTATGAAAAGCTCTGATTTTTCATGCAATGATATAAACTTGTAGTTTTAAAGGATTTTCAATTTAGGTAAGGTTTAAACTTAAAACCTATCTATAATCTGTCTAACCAGATTGAAAGTTACATACTAAAGGATTTACCCAGTAAATGACATTGGAATTGATTCCACTTGATTGAGTTCACTAGTCAACTTGAAATTGAATCCATCACAATGTCCACTCTACTGTATCTTAATACTTTATTGTTCTTAATGCTTTATATTCAGATGTTTTGAGGTCAACTGATAAGATAATGCAAATACATGTTTTTATTAGATAGTGGATAGATATTACTGTGATGTCTGTATCCCACAAGATGTTAGTAATTTGGTTAAAATAAGTTACTTTTGTAAACATAAATACAAGAAATGTCATATACCTGCACTAGTATCCTGGTGTAATGTCACTTTTTCCTTTGCAAGAACATCATTGAAAGCAGGCCAGCCACATCCTGAGTCATATTTAGTCTTGGAGCTGAACAGATCTTGCCTACATACTACACATACATACATCCCTTCTTCATAAAATTTGTTGAAACAACCTAAAATAATTCACGCATTATAAAAACTGTACACAGCAAGACATATTACAAAGGTCTTAAATATTTTTGATTATTACTTTTTAATCTTCTACATACCTGTAAAAGGTCTTTCAGTTCCAGCTTCTTGAGTAACATGGTATTGTAGCGGAGTGAGACGTTTTTTCAGTGACTCTTTATCTTCCATAGCTCTCCACACTAACGCTAAAATTAAAAAATAATGTGAATCTTATTAAAACTATTCTTGGCATTTATCCATCAATATCACAGCACAAGGTTTTCTGATGTACTAGGGTTGCGCACGTGTTCACTGCATCTAATTTACATATGTAACGACGTTATACCTGTGGTAAATGGATGTTTCAACTGAACAGCTCTGTTAGATTGTACGGCCTTCCTAAATATAGCAAGAGGTCGAAGTAAACTACGCATAACTCATTTCTTATTAAAACCAAAAAAAAGTAGTTCCTTTACGTGAAAATTGGTTATTAGTAGACAGAGCCGAAATACTAATTTAATTTATTATAAAAGTAATCAAATATCAATAACTGAAAAGCTATTAATTGTATTTTATTGATATTGATAATGTCGAAGTCGACGATCAAAGTCAACAATCTGTTGATCAAAGAGTATGTGACATATATATAGTAACATTTGACATTGACAATTGTCGTCAAAGAGCAACTATTTTTTTTTTAATTCATCATCATCATCACCTACTCACTAAACTTACCCACCGAGGGTCTCGCAGTTTACCCTAAGTTAGGGTGACTAGGCCATAGTCAACCAAGCTGGCCCAGTGCGGGTTGGTTGACTTAACACATGTTTTTGAATTTCTTCGCTGATATGTGCAGGTTGTAAAACGATGTTTTCCTTCACCGTAAGAACGCCGGGTAAATTATGTACATATGAAAATTCGAAAAATCACATTGGTATATGGCGGGATTCGAATCCAAGACCTGTAGATTACAAGTCATGTGCTTAAACTATTGAGCCACCGAAGCTCCTTTTATCAAATAAAACATGAAATGTGAAAACCGATGTAACGCAATAAAACGGAAGATCGTAGATTTCTGGACCGAAACTACAAGTAAATAATAAGTTTTCTAAACCATGTTATTAAGAATTAGTTTTTATTTGTACAACCTGTATTTCTCTTAATCTTCCGAATATTTTATAATTATCGTCCAGGCACATAAGTGATTCATTCGTTATATACGACGTGAGTATCATTCATAGATAGATAATACATACATATACTCGTATTATTGCAGCACTTTTCGTAGTTAGCAGCCGTGAGTTTCCAATGCCGAAACCCATGGTATAAAAACATAATGTTCTCCTTCTCATTGACTTTGAGAAAAAAGACAAGAAATTATTATATCTAGGTGTTTAGATAAGTTTCCAAAATAAAACAATGTAGGTAAACTTTAATGTTTATTTTAAAAAAAATGAAATAGATGCAGAACATTTCTAGTTAGACTGTAAGGAAACTAAATGGCCAAGTAAAGCATGTAAAATAAAAATTGAGAGGTTTCTAATTAAACTTAAAAAATTACTTCAAAATAACACTTTTTTACATTATCGCTTACTAGTACTAGGAATCATGTCGTCCTTCCATTGACTTTTCGACGATGCTTCCGTCAGTTTTCTTTGACTCCTCTGCTGGAAAAATCCAGCAATATAATGGCCTTGACTTTAAATGTAATTCATAATTATTTGAATAGTATTCTTACAAATGTTTTTATAGTTCTTGTTTTTTATATGTTTAGTTAGGACAGTAATTTAACGTACATATGTTATTTCGTGAATAAAATACTATTTTTGTTAACAGTATATAAACTTACAGCAAGGGATTCTCGACTCTTCTGCATCTGCATGAGAACATATTCAGTATCGTCTTGTTCGGAATCGGCGCACGACGACAGCAATTCTTCCGACCGGCGACTGCGGCAACATTCGTCGCGGAGTAGCGGCCGCATCTGTAAAATTAACATATTTCTTTTAGCCTTTAAAAAAATAAAGATCTATTGAGTATTCTTATGATGAAAGTAGTGCATTAGTTCATCATAATTTTTGTTCTTTAATCAGTAGGATTTATGTCGTAGTAATACTGCAGCAGTATCACAATTAATATTAAGAAAACAAGATATTTTTGATACAGGAACTCTGTCAGGCGTTCTCAAAACCAAAGAGTATACCAGAGTGAACTAGAAACTTGGAGCATTGTCCTAAAATTTCATCATTATAAAATCAATGATTTAGAATTGTAGTAATGAGGATAAACATGGTTATGATGACTTTGAGACTGTTAAAAAATAAACACTTACTTTAATTATAAAAGATTTCATTTTCTACTAATTTTATTATAAAATGTTACCTTACAAATCACTTACAGTTAAGGGATTGGGTGATTCTTCAATGCTTAAACCTTTCTGCCAGATGTCAGCGGATAGTTCCTCCGCGTACGAGCTCATCCATGTGCGCAACTTTTTGTAGTGAGCCCCCGCAGAGTGTCTCACTTCCTACAGCCAGGAATTGCACTTTACTTCAAACGTTTTGAACAAATATTAACGTTATTCATAATTTCAATAAGTTAACTAATTAACTTGTCCTAACTAAGTGCAATTCCTTGCTGAATTACGAAACCGAACGTTTACACAAAATACCTGAATATCTTGCCCGCTGTATAACTTTTTAACTTCAGATGGCTTTGTTTTAGGAGCGGTTTCGGAATTAGTACACTTCGAAATAAGGTAGCGCAGAGCGTCTCCCACAAGAACGCACGGTATTATAATGAAGAATAACAGATTCAATATGAATTCCATGCATCTGGAACAGATGCCACAAAGTAAGGTAATTGCTTACTTGCATTCATCTCTGTCATTATTATACTGTTAAATGAATTTCTAAACTCAATTAACTATCTTACTTGCTGATGTACTGAACGGTTCGTTTATTCGTGTCGGGATGTACCGGCCAGCCTTCGTTGTCATAAATGACACGGCGGTATCGTAGCGAGGTCTCGTAATAGTGTTCGAGTCGCCGCGGCATCTTTACAAGACGATCCAACCACAACGCGGCAACATATCGTATAAACAGGCCCAAGAGTGCTTTAATTAGACCTGAGAAGTACAGCAATCATTTATGCACTCTTGATTTTATTGCTTTATTGACATGCAATTTGAAGATTGATTCTGACAACACTGGGTACAATCTGATATTTACTATATATGATTACTTTAGCAAATTGAGCGAGTTGATGAACTAAGTGTTATTCCTGTAAATTTCAAATAACATTGCACATTTACAAGACGATTCTCACTGTATCATTATTTGCGTACCGAGCACGAGCAGGGCGACGAGCACGCCGGTGACGAGGACGCAGACGTTGAGCGTGGCGCTGTCGGCGTAGCAGAGCGAGCGCACGAGCCGCGGG